CCATTATGGACGCGGGTCACCAGGTTTTGACCAGCTGATCCTTAATGAAAAAGATGTCTAGGTTAGGGACATGGCAGAAGCCGCTGGATAATGTGTCCAAAGACCAATGGGCACATTATGTAAAACATACGCATGAGGTAATTAGGGCCGCATATGACAAGGAACAACACATAATCATTCCTGTGAGTAAAGTGCAGCCCGTAATTATAAACTTCGATTCTGACTCGACTGGTGATAGTGAAAAGTTATTAGCTCACACGTATACTATAAATAGTAGTGTGAGCTATAGTGATTGTGTCAAAAATAAGAAAAGGAGGCAATTTTGCAATCTGACTATGAAACAAAAATTTCCGAACTGCTAGACCCTGTCCCCTGTATATTCTAACTAATAAAGAAATTGTAGTGTCTAAAAATGACTTGAACAATAAAATTTTGTGCAAGTGCAACAAACATTAAAAGTAAAATTCTGATATGTATATAATTTTTCTAAATACGACCCTGTCGTTTATCCCGGCTGTCGGAATCGAATTGCTAACGCCTAAAGAAAAAAGTTACTAGAAATGTCAACGCAAACTGTCAACTTCACTTTCTATCGTTATCTCAACTATATCTATTGTTACTTTTGAGAAGGCGGTGGAGGGGCGCCAAAATTTGGACTTGCCTTGGGCGCCGAGGGTTCTAGTTGCGGCCCTGCCCTTAACTTTGGTTTATGAACACTTGAGCTGTTTTTTCGCGGTGGAACTGGTTCGATCCGGTCCGGTTAGGTTCGAACCTGTATATTCTTGCGTTGAACCAGTGACGTCGCATTGAACCTGATTCAAAGAAGTTCGAACCGGACTCATGGCTTGTTCCCCGTTGACATACGGCTGTGGTTAAAACCTCCCATTTTCTCGCGTTCACAAGTGATGACGTCATCTACAAATTGGTTTAAACCGTAGTTCGCACCATTCGCCTCGTGAGAAAACGCCTTTGATGTCACCGAAAGCGGCCATGTTGAACGTATAGTTTATTTTTTCCCAAGAAAGATTTTGGCATTGTCAACTTTGAAACATAAACAATGCCGCTATTGGTCGCTATTGTAAAACTGATGTCAACCTGCAGAAATACCTCATTTTGCGACCAATCAGGGTCAAGCGTTATTGTTTATGTTTCAAAGTTTTCAATGTCAAAATCTATCTTGGGAAAAAATAAAGTGTAGTTTTTCCGCGCGAAACTTTTCAATTTGAAACTAATAGTTGCCGTATGAGAACAATATCGATAAATTAAATGCAAAACTGCTCATATTCAATATTTCACAGGAAAATGTGCACCATAAAAACAAAATGAACCATATTTATTTCTCATGAGAATAGGGAACATTACAATTTTTTTTTTAATTTTTTAAAATCATTTATTTATGCCCTAAAAGAGTATTCCCCAAATATTATTCCCTAAAACTCAATAATAACTTGGTGAAAAATGTTTAAAGTTTCGCGCGTATTAAAAGCATTTCAAACGACCATAAATGCGCGCGAATCTGTATGACGTCACGTAGTATGATTTTGCATCACCTTGTTGCCAAACGTTATACTCCATTGTATTTAATTTGGTTGATTTCCACATTTTCCACTGTTATTTGTTTTATTGTTGTTTTATGTTGCGGCGAGTTGTAAATTTTGAAGTTATAATGTAATGTTGCTACCATAAACATATCACAAATTACAGATTGTTAGATTGGCCTCATATTGGCCTTTGGAATTTCCTTCTTCGGTCATAATTAATAAAGTCAAAATGACATTATGTTGGCAATACAATATAAAATTGTCAAATTTTCAAATTTTTTATGTAGAAAAGGCTTGTGTTGCCAACATAAACCGAATTCTCGCGACGAATGTAGTCCATCTAAAGACGAACCATAGTTCATCTGTGACGTCATGAGTTTGAACGCTGGCTAGAAGCTGCGTCCATGCTTCCGGCGAACTGCCGTTCAATATGACGTCATCAGATGCTCGCGAAAGCGTTTGTGTTCATGAAATCATGGAAATAGTTCGTCGCGAAAATTCGGTTATAGTTATAGTCCAGGAGGTGGCGTCAAAAACATGCAAGAGTTTTCGCAAGGCGGATATTTTCAAAATAGGTCGTACTTTAGTGCTAGAATGCTAGTGTACAGTCAGCACTCACAGTTCCGGGACAGCTGGCTCTGGGACGCGGGCAAAGTTGTAATTTTAAGAAGCATCTAAACTGTTTTCTCAAAGCTCAAAATTTATAGAAATTTTGCACATTATCTGTTTGAAGGTCACAGATAGCGTATATAAATCGTCAGACGTCTAGTTCGTTGCAAAAAGGGGGTCAGACGTCCTCAAAGTTTTTATTTTATGGCATTTTCTTCGGTTTCCTGTCAAAATATATTTTTGCAGGTATTTGACAAATATATATATGGTATTCCAACAATAAATTGACATGTTTTGATTGTTGATTTGAACCAATCAGATCAGGGCCGTCTTAAGGCATGGGCCCGCTGGGCACGGGCCCAGGGCCTCCGGCGTCAAGGGGGCCTCATCGCTAAGTCCACGCATAATTTAAAATAAATTTTATTTAGAAAAAAATTATAGGCTGGTAGCGATAGGCAAGTTGAATGTCACAATTTACTTTTTCTAATTTTGACATTTAAAGTGACACTTTTCAAAACTCGTTGACGTTATCAAATGTCTTATTTTTCAACTTTACTAGACAAACATAGACCGGTCATTGATGGATCCATTGCTGAATAAAAGAACGCGCACTATGCACTATACATGAAAATTTAATTTAATTAATTAATTTAATTAATTTAGCTTGTATTTGCCATTGTGTCTTCAGCCTAACAAATAAAAATTACATAAAGTCTGTTTTTTTTTAAAGATAATTCCCCATGTCAAAAATTTAGTAACTTTGTTGGCAACACAAGCCTTTTCTACATAAAAAATTTGAAAGCATTGACAATTTTCCATTGTATTGCCAACATAATGTCATTTTGACTTTTATCTTAAAAAAAAAAAACAAATTTTACGTAATAAATACCCGTTAGCTGGGTTGTTCCACGTTTTTCTCTAATTTTTCAAAATTTTATCATTTAGTATTAGTATTGGTTATTGGTTTACTTGGCTTAAATTCAATTAGCTCAGCATTATATACTTACATAAAACGATATACCTAAAGTGTGCTTTTTTTTAAAATATAGTGACTCTATAACCCACAGTGGCGACAATTGCTGTCTCATTTTTGATTGGTTCTAAAATCCCGTATATTTATATTGAAAACACCGCCATCTTGTTCCCAACCCCTTGTTACTTTTAAAAATGAATATATGGGATTTAGGTGAACGTCCATCATAAATCATGGAAAACAACGTATTTGATGGACCTAATAATGGTCATCGAATACGTCGATTTCAATTTTTTATGATAGATGTCCATTTAAATCCTATATATTAATATTTAAAAGTAACAAGAGGTTGGGAACAAGATGGCGGCGGGACCTCTATTGTCGCCACTGTATGTAAAGGTTTATTTAGCCACTGTATTTTAAAAGATAATTCCCCAAGTCAAAAATTTAATAATAGTTGGGGAGCTGGCGTCAAAAACATGCAAGAGTTTTCGCAAGGCGGATATTTTCAAAATAGGTCGTACTTAAGTGCTAGAATGCTAGTGTACAGTCAGCACTCAGAGTTCCGGGACAGCTGGCTCTGGGACGCGGGCAAAGTTGTAATTTTAAGAAGCATCTAAACTGTTTTCTCAAAGCTCAAAATGTATAGAAATTTTGCACATTATCTGTTTGAAGGTCACAGATAACGTATATAAATCGTCAGACGTCTAGTTCGTTGCAAAAAGGGGGTCAGACGTCCTCAAAGTTTTTATTTTATGGCATTTTCTTCGGTTTCCTGTCAAAATATATTTTTGCAGGTATTTGACAAATATTCAAATATATATATATTTTTGACGCCAGCTCCCCAACTATTATTAAATTTTTGACTTGGGGAATTATCTTTTAAAAAAAAGCACACTTTAGGTATATCGTTTTATGTATATAATGCTGAGCTAATTGAATTTAAGCCAAGTAAACCAATACTAATACTATAACTAAATGATAAAATTTTGAAAAATTAGAGAAAAACGTGGAACAACCCAGCTAACGGGTATTTATTACGTAAAATTTGTTTTTTTTTTTTTAAGATAAAAGTCAAAATGACATTATGTTGGCAATACAATGGAAAATTGTCAATGCTTTCAAATTTTTTATGTAGAAAAGGCTTGTGTTGCCAACAAAGTTACTAAATTTTTGACATGGGGAATTATCTTTAAAAAAAAAACAGACTTTATGTAATTTTTATTTGTTAGGCTGAAGACACAATGGCAAATACAAGCTAAATTAATTAAATTAATTAATTAAATTAAATTTTCATGTATAGTGCATAGTGCGCGTTCTTTTATTCAGCAATGGATCCATCAATGACCGGTCTATGTTTGTCTAGTAAAGTTGAAAAATAAGACATTTGATAACGTCAACGAGTTTTGAAAAGTGTCACTTTAAATGTCAAAATTAGAAAAATTAAATTGTGACATTCAACTTGCCTATCGCTACCAGCCTATAATTTTTTTCTAAATAAAATTTATTTTAAATTATGCGTGGACTTAGCGATGAGGCCCCCTTGACGCCGGAGGCCCTGGGCCCGTGCCCAGCGGGCCCATGCCTTAAGACGGCCCTGATCTGATTGGTTTAAATCAACAATCAAAACATGTCATTTTATTGTTGGAATACCAGTTTTGACAGATGTATGAAATTCTCTTTAAAAAAAAACACACTTTAGGTATATCGTTTTATGTATATAATGCTGAGCTAATCATTGAATTTAAGCCAAGTAAATCAATACTGATGATGATAAAATTTTGAAAAATTAGAGAAAAACGTGGAACAACGCAGATAACGGGTATTTATTACGTAGAATTCGAGTAAACGCTCGGAGCTGCTGTTTTGTTTTTTTTATCCCTGTTCTTCTCATCATAAGGAAAAAAGACGGAAAATGCTCCGAGCGCTTAGTGTTTCAAGACGAACTCACGGTATGATGGACGGTTGCTGACAGACACTGACAGAAGATCATACTAGATGACATCACGACCAGTACCAGCGCGTTTTTTCCCGCTGGAAATAATTTGAGTTTTTCCGCATTTTTAATTCCTTATCGCGGCCGTTTGCGACAAAAAAATTTGTTTTTTTCGCTGATATATGTTTTAACATCATATATTCTTATGATTTATAGTAATATTTTCAGGTTTACATTTTTTGTCAAGTTCCCTATTCCCTATTGTTATTTTGCTTTTCAGAGTTTAATTTATATAAGTTTTTTTTTCCATTTAGTTTTTTTTTCTTCGATCTCCGTTAGTATAGGAGATATGGAACACCGCGTACGTGCTTAGTAATTCACTCTGTACTTATTAATAAAAACAATTAAAACTCAGAGATAACCACTTTATATTTCATGAATTATTATAAACGGCAATTCCACTCATGTATAAATAATCCCATTTGAAATGTCAAAAATCGTAGTTTGCTAGCGGATAAATAGGAAGGAAGAGAAAATATAACTGGATAAAAAAATCGGATAAATTTTCTGTTGATGCGATCGTTACCGTAGTAACAATTGCATATAAAATTGGTTTTTGAATCATCTGTCAAATAATTGTCACAAAAATTCACAAGTTTTATCATTTAAGCTTATTAAAAGTGTATTTTTAAATAAAATTAAAAATATTTTCAACATGCAGCGATTTGGGACAATTAAAGATGAATTAATAGCGAAATAGAAAATTCAATTCCTGAGAACACAGTCTTCTTCTCTTCCTGTAGAGTCAAATTTTAAGGGGCAAAATATTTATTCTAATTGTACCTTCAATAACTGTTCATTTTAAAAAGTATTTCCATATTCTATTTTGATTATGCATTCGTGGAATTGCCTACGACAATTCCACTCATGTATAAATAATCCCATTTGAAATGTCAAAAATCGTAGTTTGCTAGCGGATAAATAGGAAGGAAGAGAAAATATAACTGGATAAAAAAATCGGATAAATTTTCTGTTGATGAAATCGTTACCGTAGTAACAATTGCATATAAAATTGGTTTTTGAATCATCTGTCAAATAATTGTCACAAAAATTCACAAGTTCTATCATTTTAGCTTATTAAAAGTGTATTTTTAAATAAAATTAAAAATATTTTCAACACGCAGCAATTTGGGACAATTAAAGATGAATTAATAGCGAAATAGAAAATTCCTGAGAATACAGAGTCTTCTTCTCTTTCTGTAGAGTCAAATTGTAAGGGGAAAATATTTATTCTAATTGTACCTTCAATAACTGTTCATTTTAAAAAGTATTTCCATATTTTATTTTGATTATGCATTCGTGGAATTGCCGTATTAAATACCATTCGAGCTCAGATTTTGAGCAGGATATTTTTTTGCTTGCTCTCTTATCTTATAAGTATTCGAGACCAAGCCAAAAAATATCCGGCTAAATCTGAGCTCTTATAGTATTACCTACGATTATTTCTAAATAGTTGCTGCGTAATAAGATTACAATTATTTTACGCAATAATCGATAATCTACAAAAACAGTAATAACTGTTTGTATATTAATAGAACAAATTTGACAAATGTTGATTGTGAATATCTTCAAAATCCATCATTCAATTACTAATTGTGCTTGTAATATACAATACCTCTTCACATTATATATTTTGAAGAGACCGAGTTATTATAATTAATTCATTGCTACCCGATATAAATTTGATACAAACATACATGTAACTATTATGTCTAGAAAAAAAAAGTAAGTTTCCAATATGGTTTTCAAAGAAAATGAGAAGTAGGGCGCTTTCTTTTTTTCATCGGTCTATCTTTGTCTAATTCATAGAAAATCGGAATAATTGTCTCATAATGGTGGATTCAGATGAATACATCGATGAGTAAAAGAAAGCCCTGCTAATAAAAGTTCAAAAATGAATCTTAAACTATCAGTCTGAATCAATTTTGAATAACACACCTATCAATTCTCAGAAATATATTACAAATATATACAACGTGAAACTTTTACCCTATTTTCCAAACCTGTCAGAAAGAAAACAATATTCTGACAAGTTAAATTACTTTTTGTAGAAAACACAAATAACTCTCATTCATTGTCGGTGGTAAAAAATTCAAATGCATTATTTTACCCGAAAACATGTAGATGACATTTATTTTAATGAGCCTGCTCTAAGTAGAGTCCGCGTCAGCAGTAAAGACTACGGTGACGACATGAAAAGCTGCGCGAAGCGGGTCGGATCTCTCTTCCTCGTCTATCTCTCGCTGTCTGCCGTGACCTCGGTCGTGAGCTGTAACCAGCAGCGGGGTATCTTTTTAGACAAAACTTGGATACAAAATAAACTAAATAAATATGCCTGCTGGCCGTACGACAATGAACCACGTGCTTGGCGTTCGGCAGCAGCACCCATCGATACGATAGTTCGGTTAGTTTTCAAAATTGGGTTTGTGCGCATATGACGACACCGTACTCTTTACTCTTGACGCGGACTCTACTCCAGGAGTTTCGATCGTTCGAAATTTATTGTGTGTGGGTCAAATAATCAAACAATAATGCCAACACCAAATTGGAATGGATTATTTCAGGTTCTTTTTTATTAACAAATAATGAAAAAACTTTCTAATGCAATTTAACAACAGCTATAAGTCAAAGTCGAAGAAATTCCTAATAAACATGTAAATTCTTGGGAGCCAAAGTCCAAAGTCACTGATTTGGTCAAACCTAAACTCAACAAATGCCGTATTACTGCTACTCCTGCTTTTGAGCCAGAATTTAAGGGTAGAATTAATTCAACTTTATTTTAAAGTTAAATGGAAAAATTAATTATTAACAAAGCCTAATCCAAACCATACATGGTCAAATTTTTTCAAAGAGTTCCTCACACGCGCAAATTCACAATCTGTAAAAAGGATCCGCGCAAACAAAATTTGAAATTTCCAAATTTCATCAAATGTGTTTGCAAGCATTGATACTTTTTTACAAAATAACACCACAATATCACTTATGTATTTGCAAATGAATTTGACCGTATATGGTTTAGGTAATAAATGGTAAAAATTGAAACCAAAACTTAAAACAGAAAAATTTTAAGTTTTAATTCAATACAACCAAGTTCATTGAATTTACCGGTCTAAAGAGCACATTCACCCAATAGCGGTATCATTCACTGAACCCAATTATATTGAATTTAACCATCAGTAAAGCATTGACATATCTGTCATGCTGTTGATTTCGCGATTAAGGACGTGTTGTTGTCGTAACAACGCATTAGCTTTGATTTCGAAGTCGGTTTTCATTTTTTCAGTAAACACTTTCTCATCCTTGCCTTCAGCTGGCTGCTTTACTGCCACCATAAAGCTATTGTAGAGGTCAAGCAACTAAAATATAGAGAAAAAATAAATCTCAATTCATTGAACAATCATCAATAAAATTTCATACCTGCTTATCAACTTTATCCAAATCATCTTTTAACTGATTACAATGTATATCGTTCAAAACAGCAGAGCGAAGTTTGTTAAGTTCGTCAAGATTGTATTCGTTAATCGTAAACAGTTCATCCTGGCATTTTTTGATTTCCTTCAAGAGCTCATCCTCTGGCTGTTCCTGCGATAAGGGATTTTCTCAATAGCGAAAGTAACAAGAATTAAGAGGGGAGTAATGAGGAAAGCCTTACTAACCTGCTGTACATCCTCTTTCGTTAATATTCCTTGTTCAACTAACTCCTTCAGTAACCTTCTATCCAAACAAGTGCCAACTTTGTGACTATTGGGTTTAGGCCTTGTTGATTCAGCTAAAAATATTTTTCTCTTGTATTAAATATGTAATACATTGAGAAAAGAAAAAATTCAGTTCATACACTAGATATAGATTGTCTTTTCCGAAAAAAAAAGGCTTCAATTTCAGAGGAATAAAGCGTAGTTCATATAGATATAGATCACGAATTGCGAATTGCGAAGGCCGCTCCTATTGGTCAGTACACTGTCACGAACAGTGACATCTGTCAGAGTTCAATATTCAATATTCAATATGCGGATTTTATGTCGGCGCACGCATATTTTAAAAATGCTACTAGCTGCTCCTTCTGTTGTTTTGTTTACGTTTCGGCTTTGGCCATTTCATTAAGGATTCTTTTTTTTGTCTAGTCTGTAATTATTGTAGTGAAGTTTTTTGTGCTCTGCTGTGTATTTTCTTTATTGTTTATTACAATATTTTCTACGGTAATTTTACCCATTATTTTTTTCTCAAATTCTCATTTACTGGATTAAATTATGATATGCTCCTTGCTGTTTAGCTGAGTCAATCTGAGGGGTCAGGTTGCAACAAATTAACAACAAGCTGATTCTAGCGGGAATGTCTAGTAAGTGACCTCTTATTTAACCTCCCAAAAGTCCCATTCAGTCCTAGGGGTGGAAGGTTGAAAAAAATGGCTGCCATCTTGGATTTTGTTGTTTTTTTCAAATATCTCAGTTTATATTAGTTTTTTCAAGAAAACTCAAGAAACCTTTTTTGTGGAGAATTTAATTCTCTATGAAAACTGTTCATGCCTTTTTTTGTTACATAAAGGATAACGGAGATACAGAGTGTTTAATAGTAAATATTTCAAACATTTCTCTACTTTTCTTTCTGTTCTATCAGGTTTAGTGAGAAAAAGTTTTCATTATGCTTCGTGTTTGGTGTCATTTTGATTGGAGAAGTTTGAGCTGTTTCATGGCTTAAAAGTGAATTGAAAAAAACGAGAGAAATGGGATATATTTGTCCCAAATGATCTCATTTTAATGGAACATACAGGTGAAGATTCTATTAAATAAACAATTTTATCAGTAAACCCTTTTTTTCTCTTCAATGAAATTGAACTGAAAGCAATAAATTTGTTTGTTTTTGTTTGTTTGTTTATGTTTTGGATAAACAATTTGGTATTAGTTTGAACGTACACAATAACATTAATTGTAACGTCATCGCTCAGGATTAGGAGCTCTAGCACAGCCCAGCGCTAAAATTTGCATCATGGATAAATTTTCTTGTTGTGGAAAACCACAATCGAACTTAGTATGCATTGGGTGTTCAAAAATGTGTGTGAGCTGTTTTGATAGGGACTGGAAGAAAGGTATAATATTGGGAAAACACAGAATTTATTGCTCTGCCGAGTGCCAACATCTTGAAGCTGATGCTCTAGAAAGAGATAAGCAACTACAGAAAGAGGTTGAAGCAGGGTTGGAAAAAACCCGGGTTTTTTTTAAAAAGTCCAACCCGCCGTCGGGTTTTTTTTGGGTTTTTTATGGGTTTTTTTTGGGTTTTTTTCGGGCTTCCCGGGGGGTTTCGCTTTTTTTCTTCAAATTTAATTTATAGTTTCTGCTCTAGCAAAAGTATTACAAAAATTATGACTTTAATTGCAAAAAAAATAAATATATCCTTACAAAATAGAGCAAGCCACTTGATATAAATAATTACACTTGGCATCAGTGCACTGCATGCGCTTCTGGCTGGCCAGCTCAGAGTCTCCGTGTCATGTAGAATTCTACATCTGGACAGGATTATATAGACTCAGCACATTCGATATGTCGAAATCTACATGGCACGGGAGTCTCTGCCCAGGCCTCCACGCCAAACACCAACAGTGAACAGCAAGGGATTGAGGAATCATCGGGGAATCTCCGATATTTTCTGTGAAAATGCCGCTCATTCAACTGAAAATTTGCTATTTTTGAAAAAACCCAAAAAACCCAATAATGGTGGGTTTTATCAATTGAAAAAAAAAACAAAAAAACCCGCTGGGTTTTATAACCTGGGAAAATTCTAAGCCAACCCTGGGTTGAAGAACTTACCAAGGAGATCCAGGAAAAGAATAAATACATTAGCAGACTCCGGAGAAATTCACAGGTTTTTGAAGATGATTTGTTGAACTCTGAAAAATAACATTGTGATGAAATTAGTAACTATAAAAATGACGTTTCAAGATTAAATACTGAGATTATTCAGGTGTCAGACAGAAATTCCTGCATCCAAAACGATCTACAACGGACAAGGGAAAGCTAGAAGAGTTAAAGTTACTGAACTGCAACTTGAAAATTTCCATCGAGGTCCTGGAATAGGAAAATGATATACTTTCCAAGGAAACTAAGCGTCTGCGTCGTGAGGCTTTTGATAAACAACAATGCGATGAAATTAAGAACTACAGAAAGGACATATCAAAACTGAATGCTGACATTGTTCAGGTATCAGAGAGTAATTCCCACATTCAAAACGATTTACAGTGGACGAGGAAAGATCTACAGGAGTTGAATATACTGAACAACAACTTGAAAGTTTCAATCGAGGTCTTGGAAAAGGAGAATGATATGTTGGCTCATGAAACTAAGTGTCTGCGTCGTGACGTTTTTGAATTGAAAAACTCTCCTCATCCTATAGCCCATATTAAATCGACTTCTCCTAGGAATAACATACTTATAGTAGGTGATAATTTGGCAAAGGGACTTAGGGATATTATGGATAATTGTGTGAATCGTGAGTTTTCTGTATCAGCGTTAATTGGACAGAATGCATTTCTTGATGAGTCGGTGAGAGATATTCTCAATTATACGAGTACGAGTAATTTCAATAAGAAGGATTATGTGATTGTTATGGCTGGTGTGACAAATTTATTGAAGGGACGTCCAGTTAGAGAAGAAACTATACAGACTTTTAAATCAGTGGGTGAATATACTAATCTTATGGTTTGCTCCGTGCCACGAGTGAAAGCAATTTCAGATTTTATTTTCATTAGTCAGGATCCTGATGACACCTGCACCTTGGCAGATGACATCCTTCTCCCTATTGATTCATATCACCCTGCATTAATATTAAACATATTATGTGCCGAGACCCAGCAGTGTAACTCAGACTACCCGCAACCTGATGAGTACTACTATGATTTTAAATCTGCCGAGTATGCACTTCTCAATGATCATCTAAGTATGATCAACTGGGATGCTTTACTCCAAGGCCCAACTGTAGCAGAAATGGTCAGTATTTTTTATGACATTCTTTACACTGCTATTGACTGCTTTGTACCAAAGAAAAAGCTTTCCACCCATAAATTTCCTAAATGGTTCCCCTTCGACCTAAAGGAACTCATAATCAAGAAGAAAGAAGCACACAGAACCTGGAAGCGGACTGACTCTCCTAGTGACTATGACAACTTCTCGAATCTTCGCACTCGGTGTAAGACTCTTTCAAAGGACTCCTATCTGAATTATGTGCAGCGCTCTGAAATGTCACTGCTGAATGATCACAACCTCAAACACTTCTGGAGTTTTATCAATGCCAAGCGAAAAGCGAATGGTTTGCCGTCTCACATGTTTTATAATAGCAACATTGCCAAAAATGGTTCAGAGATAGCTAATCTCTTTGCTGAATACTTCCATTCTGTTTATTCCAACAAAATCTGTGTTGCTAGTCAGGACATCTCTCGGAGCGATGCACATATTCATGAATTTAACATCTCAATATCAGTTATTTATGAAGAACTATGTAGCCTGCAGTCTTTTAAGGGTCCAGGTCCAGACGGTGTCCCACCTCTTATGATAAAGAATTGTAGCTTTGTATTATCCCGTCCACTTTTCATTCTTTTCAACAAGTCACTCAGTTTGGGTGAATTTCCTAAACTCTGGAAGCAGAGCTTCACCATACCCATTCATAAATCTGGCGATAAAATGGATATTTCAAAATACAGACCCATTATCATCCAAAACACCTTCCCAAAGGTATTTGAGAGCATAGTGACAAAGTTTTTAACTCCAAAAATCAATCCCTGTCTAATTGAGCAGCAGACCGGTTTCCGTCCAAAATGCTCAACTGAAACCAATCTCCTGTCCTACCAGGACAAAGTTTCAAGAATTCTTGAGGATGGCGAATCAGTTCACTCCATATATACCGATTTTGCAAAGGCCTTTGACCGTGTCAACCATGCCGTTCTGCTTGCTAAGCTTGAAAGTGCTGGAATCTCCGGTACTTTGTTGAAGTGGATTAGCGACTATCTTGGGGAGAGAACTCAAATAATCAAAGTTAACAACTTCTTCTCACACGAAATTGACATCCCATCGGGCGTTCCACAGGGTTCTCACTTGGGACCTCTGCTGTTCAACGTTTTTATTAACGATATCAAGTCTTGTTTTATTAACAGTGAGTTCCTGTGCTTTGCGGATGATTTAAAGGTGTTCACCCGGGTCTCTTCTATTGAAGACTGTGCCAGACTACAATCTGACCTCGACAGACTCTCTGAGTGGTGCGCTTTGAGCGGCATGGAGCTCAATGCTTCCAAATGCAAAGCCATTGTTTTCTCCAAGGGTCGTAGCCCTCCACAATTCGCGTACCATATAAACAACATTCCGCTTGAAACTGTCTCACAACAACGAGATCTTGGTGTCATTTTTGACAGCAGTCTCAATTTTATCACCCATATTTCAGACATCACAACAAGGTCGTTAAAACTTGTAGGCTTCATTAAGAGGTGTTCGAGAGATTTTACAAGCATAGATTCTATCAGATACCTTTATTGCTCAATGGTGAGGCCCCTGATGGAGTACTGCTCCTCTGTCTGGTCACCAATGTATTCTAATCATATCAGAGCCCTAGAGCTAGTGCAGCGCAAATTCGTACGTTATTTAGCCTTCAAGGCAGGTATTCCTTCGCCTGAGAACTATGTGTATGACTATGACGACCTATACAGACGCTTCAATCTACAACCCTTGGCAGCTAGACGCAATCAAAGAGATTTATATACTTTTTACAAGGTACTGAACTCCATTAGTGATTCCGCATACCTACTGTCCAGAATAGGGCTTCACGTCCCAGCAAGGGACACCCGCTCTGCCATAACCTTCTCAGAAAGAAATCACCGTACAAACTATGGTTTCAATACATTCATCTCCAGAACTTCTCGATTAGGTAACACCCATGGTAGCCTGGATTTTTTTGGACCCATAAATAGCTTTAAAAGAGAGCTTAACTCTCTAATGTAATTCTCCTTGTTTGTTTGTGATGCCAAGTTCGATAGCTAAGAATTTCTAGTCATCTTGATCAGTCATTATTTATGTTTGTCCTCTATTTTCTTATACCTATAACTGATTTAATGTTTTACTGTTAATAATTTATATGTATTTTTATCCTGTCACTACGCCAAGTATTACTGGCCTATGTTTATTTAGTTGTAAGGTACTTAATGTTTCTTGTTGTTTTTTTTTTTTTTTAATGGGTCTTGCCCGTAAATAAATAAATAAATAAATAAATAAATAAATAAATTTGAACGCCATTATAGGAAGTAAGGACTTTTATTTTGATTAATAACTTGTACATCAAACATAGAGGTAAGGTGAAAGTAGCACAGGCACTTAGCGGTAGGCTCTCAGATTTTATTAATGGAAGTGTGCCTGTGAGGGATGTTATAGGACTAGATACAGATAGTCGTGTTTTTACAATGATTATGCACACTCTGTCTGATGTAAAAGTAGATACCGTTGATATTGAAGGACCTTTTTTAGTAGCAGCTCCCGTCAGAATCACTTTACCCTAGCATTGTTAAATATTCAGTCTGTGCGTTCAAAGGTTGATGAATTGGAGTTGTTTTTGGAATCTGTCAATTTTCCTAGTGTATTGATTTTGGTTGAGCACTGGTTGCTGTTTGATGAGCCCATTGACGTGTTTGGTTTTGGTTATCTGTTGATGTCTAAATTTTCACGCAAGCAATTTACTCATGATGGAGAGAGAGTTTTTGTCTAGGTTTATGTTCATTACTGTTGATAGATTTGATCATTTGTTGGTTGAAAAAGATTTCGAGTTTTCTATAGTTTTCTGCAAGAAACTCAATATGTATATTTTCGGTTTTTATAGGTCTCCATCTGGTAATTTGGAGTTTTTTTTGGAGAGGTTGGAGAATTTGTTGAACAACATTTCGGTTAATTTCTTGTTGATTTTGACTGGCGATCTAAATGTGAATTTCTTGGACAAGAGTAATAGATCCAATCAGTTACTGTGTAATTTGTTGAATTCTCTGCCTCAATAATGGACTAATGTTAAATTACGTAGTTACGCACCACACACCCCACAAAACCGTCGTTTTTAACATTCGTAGCCCACACACTTCAGATTTGTTGACATATCGAACATATCCGATGGACAAAATCAGGCGAAGCCAGATATTTGCATCGGTTTTGTATCCCAGCAAAAACCACAATTTTTCGCACTTACACTTCGGTTTTGCGTCGTTTTTGCTCGACCAGATTTGCTCATCGAACAAATCCGTCCAACAAAAACGCAGTCTGTGGGGCCCTTAAGGAACTTGAAATTAGTGTGGGCGTCCCACAGGGCTCGGTACTTGGTTGCCTGCTTTTCCTCATTTATGTAAATGATCTACCACATCTCCAGATAACAGGTAGATTCACAATCTTTGCAGACGATACCACTATCCCCTGGCATGATTCTGATGTTGGTAGAATGGAGGCCAATATGAGGACGGATCTGCTTGAAATAAAGTGCTGGTGCGACGCCAATTCTCTGACATTCAATGCATCTAAGACCAAAATCCTCAAGTTTAAATGTGCTACCGAGGATATCTACTTGGAAAATGTACCCATCACTACGCCAATGTTTAATAAATTCCTGGGTTTGTCAATAGACAGGTCCCATAAGTTTAAAGTCCACATTGCAAAAGTATGCAACAAAATTTCGTCTGGTTGCTATGCCCTCAGAGTTATTGCTAATTGCGTATTTCGCGATTATTGAGTCCCATCTTCGATACGGAATCTGCTTCTGGGGCTCTTGTTCTGACTATCTTTTTAATTCGGTGTTCTTACTTCAGAAAAGGGCCATCAGATACTTGTGTGGAACCAAACCTCGGGATTCGTGTCGCCCTCTGTTTCTGAGCCACGGTATTCTAACTCTCTGTTATCTGCTTATTCTAGAAACGGCCTGTTTAGTCTTCAGGAAGTATAAGTGCGAATTGGAGCTAAGGGGCCAATACAATACGCGCCAGGATTACGTGATGGGATTGCCTATCCCCCACTCAGAACTCATCCGTAGCTCTATCATATATGAAGGCAGAAAATTATTTAATAAACTTCCTTTAAAGACCAGGAAGCTCAACACTGAAAAGAGGCTTTGTATAGAAGTAAAGAAATTTCTGACGGGTAAAGCCTACTACAGTTTGAACATGTTCTTTAATGATGTGACTTAAGGTTTTACGTATTTTGATTGTTCTTTCACCTTGCCTAGTCTTGGCTATTTATTGTAATATTTTTATTTTTAGATTGTAATGTTTTTATTTTTAAATTTTTATTGTATCTAATGATTTAATTATACATCTTTTAAACAGTGACTTATATTTTAATTGTATTTTTGTTTTTACTTTTATTTGTATTTTTATGTCTGTTTGTTATTTTAATTGTACATGTATTTCAATTTTTGGCATTTACCTCACATTTATTTTGCTTTTTATTTTAATACCTGTTATATTTAATTTATTTTTGATATATTTTTATTCTGATTACTTTATATTGCCTGGGTGGCTGCTTTGTACATAAGATGTACACATAAAGCATATTTTGATTTGATTTCATTGATATGCAAAAAGTTTACTTGCCAGGCGTGTATAGGACTTGGACATGAATGCAACAAGTTCCTCATTAGAATCCAGAATGGCTTTGCAGGTGCCTTCCAGCCCATTCCGTTTTTAATACCATCCATAGTGAGCTGGCCATTGGCAGGAATAGGAGAAAACCCTCTATCTAATTTTACTACATCATCCTCTATAACACACAATTCTGATTGGATAGCACAACTCTCTGGTTGGTTTTGAGCTTTTCCATCTCTGCATCAAATTTGTGAAGTCTTGAGCTCAACACCGGCAGTGCTTGGAAACAGTCCATACAGCTTGGACAAAAATATCTTAGGTAGCGTTCTTTCATTATGAGAACTCGGAGCTCAGAGCTCCTTACTCCAGAGCAATTTTTGCATAGAATCTTGCGACAAATGTCACATGGTTAGCCAAAAAGCTAATTTTTGTCCTCCTTTTGGAAACAGGCCTTATCACAGGAGGTAGATCTACACCAGGTTTGATTATGGTAGGAATAAAATTTAATAAAGAATGTTTATTTGGCTTGGGCCCGGTTTATTCATCTTCAGATAAACTTGCTGGAAACTATCTGCAAGATATATTTATTGTTCTATTATTTTATTGGTTGGCGGATAACTGGCCAACCAATGAGATACCAGATTGGATTTTTATCTCGTTCTATTATTCTATTGGTTGGCGGATAACTGGCCGACCAATGAGATTACAAATTTTTGTGCTGCTGATAAGTAATACAATTTATCTTTTTTTTTCTATTCCTATTTGAGTCCCAATAATAAAACTGAATTTGTTGGCTCACCAAGAATGAAGTCCAGAACAATTTTTACAAGGTTGAATGAAAAGATCACAATTTCACAAACAAAATGACCACACACGATCAATATGATCAATAGAGACCCATATAAACTTGCAATTTATATGGAGCGATTGGAGCGAATATACTACTTACTTTGGTGGATCGCTTTTTTGGATCCTCAACAAAAGTGAAAAATTTATAAATCAAATTCTAAAAAAAACTATATCTCCGTTATCCTTCATGTTACGTACAGACACTTTTTATAGAGAATTAAATTCTCCGCAAAAAAGGTTCCTTGAGTTTTCTTGAAAAAACTAATAGAAACTGAGATATTTGAAAAAAACAAAAAAATCCACGATGGCGGCCATTTTTTTTCAACCTTCCACCCCTAGGACTGAATGGGACTTTTGGGAGGTTAAATAGGAGGTCCGTTACTAAACATTTCCGCTGAAATTAGCTTGTTGCTAATTTGTTGCACCCCCACCTATGTTATGCAGCTACGTTTATCCTACTAGTTTTATTTAGGCACCTAAATTTGCTTCTTGCGAATTGCAACAAACAATAAGAAACTACAAAAACAATTATTTAAGGTTATAACCAAAGAAAAGATTTAAATATACTAGTGTCAACACTCCAGTGTGGCACCGAAAAATAAAGTAAATATTCCTAAAATGATTGTGAAGTTCGCATCTATATGAAAGAGCTGAAAAACGCCGATTTTTTTTTCAACGAAATTCGGATTCGCAATTCGTGATTCGCATCTATATGAACTACACCTAAGAAACACTAAGAGCTAGCATCTCATTTATAAATCCCTTATTCTTGATAGGCCAACCCCTGGACCCATTAGGTATAATCCCAAATTTCCAGAATGCCGATTGCATTTTTAGGGCAAATTCAAACCAGTTTGTGACTTTAAATGAAATTTTGAACCAAAAATACATCCGAGAAAAACTCTCTATGATCCCTAATTCAGGTTTTTTTGTCGAATGTACCCTTTAAAATTACTTTAGAGTTTAGATAGACTTTAATTGAAAAGATGTACAAAATCTCAGCCAATTTTGCTGACTAGTGCTGACATGCAATTTTGGATATTTTCTCTTGATATTCTATTGGAAAAAGCCAAAAGGAAGCCTTTGCAGGACAAATTCAAACCAATCTGCGGTTTAAAATGCAATTTTGAACCAGATATATATTTATGAAAGGATCTGTATGACTATAAATAAGCTCTTTGCTAATAGCACCATAAGATTCTTAAGGCCTGCTCATCTCTGCGAATTTGTCTCTATTTGGGACTGGAAGATCGATAATTCTATAACAAGCTCGATACCAAGTATAAAACTGGTTACCCATATAGTTTATAAGCTCAAATTTTCTAAATACCTTTGTTGGTTTTATTTTCGCCCGTTTTGCAATCGTCTCCATTTTTAGTAGAACCTGTGGCTTCAGCATTACTTGCACTTTCACCAACTTCTAATACTTTATCTTGAATTGTCGCTGCCAATAATCTTTGAGTAAGCACACTCCCAAATGATTCAATTAAACTGAAATTAAAAGTTTTAATATATTGATTTACAAAATGTAATTTTTCACCTATGCACTCCATTTTTTTTGTCTTGAATTTTCTTAAAGGGTCTGCCAACACTGTGTTCCTCGCCTAAAAGCTCATCTGACCATAATTTGGAATAGTGTTCACCAACTTCGGGAATCTTGGTGTCAATTTCTTTCGAAAATTCTTGCAAAAGTGAATCCAAAAACTAGAAATTTCAATAGATGCTTTAGGGAAAAATTGTGATGTTGAATTATACTCTAGCATTTTTGTATCAAGAATTACAAGAAATATGCGATTAAACTTAAACGACTTGAATTGTCCACTCTAGCCCCTTGGTATTTCAATAAAATATTTTTCTATTTAATTTTTTGGGCCAAATAATCATAGTAACTTACCGCAACATTATCTTTACTAACTGGAGCACAATAAGGTTCAATTGAAGCCCAAAACTTATCAGAATTGTCATTTCTTGGCAAGCTTATTTTTGGAATCTCTTTATAAGTGTGCTCGTTCAGTTTAAACGGGTCCCGTTTAAGAAATCTGATACCACCTTTCACTTCTCTGAACTTGGTTCTCTCGTCAGGCTTCTTCCTTTTAGCAGTCATCTGTAAAGTATTACAGATTAAATTTTAATTATAGTAAAAAATTTGTATTTTACGTTTGTCTTTTTGTCGTCCTTATCTGCTTGCGTGTATTCGCCCAAAAAGAATCTGGTCCTTAGAGCGTTAGTGGATAACAGTTTTTCCAAATCGTGTTGCAGCTGATCCAAATCGTCCATTACCACTCCTTCTTCTACAGTTTTGGATAGGACTAATAATGAAAAATTATATTAATAATTGTTTAGTAGTAGGACTAGTATAACAAGTTCACAGAATATCAGAGAACTTTTGCTTAAAAAATATTTTTTGTAATAAGGACCAACCAAGTTGTTCTGGAAACTACTTAGTTTCCTCTTTTGGTCATACATGAAATGTTGTACATAACTACGAAGGCGTAGAAGGGACATTTATTAAATTTTTATTTGCTGGTATAGATGCACAATTAATTCCGTGTTAACTAACTCGGAATTAATCCCCTCCTATTTAATTCCGTGTTAATTAACTCAGAATTAATCCCCTCCTATTTAATTCCGTGTTAACTAACTCGGAATTAATGTCCTTTTATTTAATTCCGTCTTAACTAACTCGGAATTAATCCCCTCCCATTTAATTCCGTGTTAATTAACTCGGAATTAATCCCCTCCTATTTAATTCCATGTTAACTAACTCGGAATTAATCCCCTCCTATTTAATTCCGTGTTAGCTAACTCGGAATTTTATCCCTCCTATTTAATTCCGTGTTAACTAACTCGAAATTAATCCCCTCCTATTTAATTCCGTGTTAATTAACTCGGAATTAATCCCCTCCTATTTAATTCCGTGTTAACTAACTTGGAATTAATCCCCTCCTATTTAATTCCGTGTTAATTAACTCGGAATTAATCCCCTCCCATTTAATTCCTAGTTAATTAACTCGGAATTATTTCCCTCCTATTTAATTCCGTGTTAACTAACTCGGAATTAATCCCCTCCTATTTAATTCCGTGTTAATTAACTCGGAATTAATTCCCTCCTTTTTAATTCCGTGTTAACTAACTCGGAATTAATGTCCTTTTATTTATTTCCGTCTTAATTAATTCCGAGTTAGTTAACACGGAATTAAATAAGAGGACATTAATTCCGAGTTAGTTAACACGGAATTAAATAGGAGGGAAATAATTCCGAGTTAGCTAACACGGAATTAAATAAGAGGGGATTAATTCCGAGTTAGTTAACACGGAATTAAATAGGAGGGGATTAATTCCGAGTTAATTAACACGGAATTAAATGGGAGGGGATTAATTCCGAGTTAGTTAACATGGAATTAAATAGGAGGGGATTAATTCCGAGTTAGTTAACACGGAATTAAATAGGAGGGGATTAATTCCGAGTTAATTAACACGGAATTAAATAGGAGGGGATTAATTCCGAGTTAGTTAACACGAAATTGAATAGGAGGGAAATAATTCCGAGTTAGCTAACACGGAATTAAATAGGAGGGGATTAATTCCGAGTTAGTTAACACGGAATTAAATAGGAGGGGATTAATTCCGAGTTAGTTAAGACGGAATTAAATAAAAGGACATTAATTCCGAGTTAGTTAACACTGAATTAAATAGGAGGGGATTAATTCCGAGTTAATTAACACGGAATTAAATAGGAGGGGATTAATTCCGAGTTAGTTAACACGGAATTAATTGTGCATCTATACCAGCAAATAAAAATTTAACAAATGTCCTTTCTACGCCTTCGTACATAACACATATTCTAGGAACTAAAAAATCAAATGTGTTGAAAAACATTTCTTAGAAACAATTATTGAGAAACAAGGTGAAGAAAATTAGGAGAAAAAAATACTAGATTTTTGAGTTAGCGAGGATGTGAAAATTGGTAGATCAATTACATGTGAACTTTTGGTATTGACTACGGAGGGAGCATGAATATTAGAGGAGTACGACACACAGATTCTAAAACAAGATACAAGGCAAGGTTAAAATACGTCTACCTATAAAGAATGGTCTGCAAGAGTTCCGTGGACCACATACTAACCTTATAGCACGCTTCTGGAGAACAAATATGACGATTAAGTAGCAAAAGATTAAGGGGGTAGATATATTATACTTACTTGATGTATATTTAGGCACTAGCCTAGCATTATCCATTTGTCTAATAACAGGAACATTTGTGAAATCTTTAAGATCAGGTAGTTTTGGCTCTTTTGTTCTAGACGAAGTCGGCATTTCTTTCAGCTTTCCAGTATGCTGTTTACCGCTTTTAGACGACGTTAGAGAACGCTTTGAACTCATCATGTTCAAGTAGAAGGGGCTATGTTGATATAGCTATAGCCCAAACCCTCAGCTCACCCCAACTTTATCAGTTTGGCTGAGAAAAAAAAAACAGTTTTTGGGTCAACCTATGCTATACTACTCTACTACTACATCAAAGATTACTACATGAACAGAACAAGGAATTAAAAAATTGGAATTGGGGAATATATTTTTACCTTAGAGTATTTTGCTTACAGCACAACTCAGCCAATGAGTTTATTTCGAGGTTTATTTATTTTTTCCTTAAACCTGTCATCAAACAAAGCAGCCAAACCACTAAACCTATTAAATTTTGGTTTTAGGCCCTCTTTTTACGATCGGCACAATTTAATTTCCCCAAATATTTTGTTTTTGTTTATCAAACTTCAAACTAAACTATCAAACTTTTCGCTTGTCGTTTGTCAAATTTTGTCCAAGTCAACCAAAAAAAGTTCTTTTCACGTGGCTCCGGTTTAACTAACCGGGCTACAAAACGGTTAGAGAAATGACATACCGTTCTCTAGCCCGGTTACAAAGTTACGTGTGGATACCTACCACTCTAATTTGAGCGGTATGTTGTTGTTTGTTAAACCGGAGCCACGTGAAAAGGGTTAAAGACATAAGTCCTTTTCACGTGGCTCCGTTTAAACTAACCGGGTTACAAAACCAATAGTAGCGGTATGGCCGGTATGTCAAGTATGACATACCGTTTTCTAACCCCGTTACAAAGTGACGTGATCGATATCACACGAATACACGAATTTCAGCGGTATGTTGCGGTTTGTTAAACCGGAGCCACGTGGAAAGAGTTATAGAGTGCGTTCGAAATCAGTCTGGGCATCGCACCGAGTGCACACCAGCCAGCCGTTCGAAAATGAACTGGTATAAACTACGGTTGACTTTCACGCTAGTTCGAATATATCCGGGCTGCTACCCTGTGCACTCTTTCTCAACCAACTCTGCCGCTGAGTAAATTTTACTCCTGTCATTAGGCAATTCAAACCACGTGACATTCAAGATGGCGTGGCGGCCACACATGGACCAAAAAACACAAAAAATTATCTTGTTTCTGCCCGACTTAATAGTTTACGTATCTAGTAAACAAATATTTTATTAAATAATCAAAATCAAAGCTGCAAGCAAAACTCGAAGCAAAATAATTAATATATTCATAAAAATACATATTCAGAACAAACTTGCTGGCCCCCACGCCATATTGAATTTTTCGTTTTGACAGATGGATTGATTCTAATTGACGTGTCTCGTAATACCTGGGGCGCGTTCAGATTGAAGAGTCCGGGCGATGTCCAGTGCAGAGTGTACCCGATAGAGAGCGCACTCCGAGTGTGCCCGGCAATTTGCCCAATCTGAACGGCCAAGACGCATTCTCTCCTCATTTACATTTATGAAATGCTTTGATTTTGACTTTGACCACAATTCCCAAAAACGAATTCATTAAAGGTGGGTTTATCCAACAAATAAAATAAGAAATAAAATAAAATAAGAAAAAAGAAAGTTAAAAGATGACCAACTCTTATTATATTTTATTTTAATTTTTTTGGTGGCACTACCACATATATGTGGTAGTGCTAGTATATAAAATAGTACCTCTTAACTCTTAATTCTTATTTTAATTTTTGTTATTTTATTCTATTTGTTGAATAAACCCGCCATAACTCGCAACAACAATATTTGCCTTTAATATTTAAGGTTAGAACACAAACATAACACCAACGCGCATGCGGGGCAAATTTTATCTTGCTATTTTATGGGATGCAAAAGTGTGCGTCGGGGTGTCGTCCGGTAAAAATCTACTGACAATCTGAACGGCTGGGTAAATTTTACCCAAAGCAATCTGAACGGCCAGAGCGCGCTCAGGCGACACCCGACGTTCAATCTGAACGCAGCCCTGGTGTGCGCGCGCAACTCGTGGGCTTCAGGTGAACGTCCAATGAAAATCGAGTTTGTTACGGGATTACGTCATGTTCGTATTCAGGGAAGAGTTTAGAATTAATCGTTCCTTCTTTGTTTGTAACGTGGAATTCGACAAAGAGCAAACTAATACTTTACGTATTACTTGAACTTATCTCAGTGTCGTTTAAGGTTATGTTAGATTATACTTGACATATTCCTTTGCAATTTCATAGTGCGATGTTGCCGGATGAAACATTTATCAAAATAAAAGTCCCATCGATGTTAACATACACTTTAAAGCTCTTCTTTGTCTGATTTAAGGCGTTGTAAAACACTTGACAATATATCACTTCTTTAATGTTATAATGTTCGATTTGTATTATCTACATTTGTTCTGCAACAATACAATCTGGCTACACTGCAGCCACGAGTTGCGCGCGCATGTCATTTTTTATTACATTCTAACTTGTATTTATTACAATTAAGCTATCTTTTTTCTATTTCTGCGAGACACGTCAATTAATCAATTTAGATCATTCGACCCAACAACAAATTCCTTCAATATATTGGATTAATCCCATCTCGATTAACTATATTATGAATTTATATTTTAATAGCTTTAAATACTTTCAAGAAACTGACCAGACATTACCTGTAAAACAAGGTGCTGGTTGTATGGATTTTTTGACAAATGTCAAATTCAAGAATTTTATGTAGGAAACATGCTTCCAATTTATTATTCATTTAAAAATCCAATTTGTTAGTGGTTATTGCTTTTTATTGCCGTTTGTAGAAAAAATATTGTATGATATTTGTGTTAAAAGTATTTTTAAGGCACTTATGTGAATTGCAGAATTCGCTTCGCTCATTCTGCAAACTTTCACATGCGTGCCTTAAAAATGTACTTTTAACACTTATATCATAAATAACTATTTTCTACAAACGTGTTAAAAATGCAATTTTTAACACTTCCCCGAAGCATTAAAAATGTTACTTTATCGCACTAGTGCCATAAAGTGTTTATCGCACTAGTGTTAAAAATGAAACATCAAATTTTGAAAGCGTACGTCAAAAAAAGTTTGAATTTTATTTATTTACATTAATATTAATTATAAAATGTGAACAATTTGATACATTTAATCCTTCCGCACCACTCAGTGATTGAGGAGGTCGAGGAGGATTGAACGGAAACAACTGCATTTCCAGTTGATGTCGAGGCAACATCTCTTGATGTTTTTTCCACTGTAAGCAGTTTTCGGGCAATAGAGTTTTTAGCTTCCAAGGAGTCTTCGATATACCCCTCAGCAACGGTAGAGGATTTCCATCCCCCGTGCCGCTTAATTGTCGTCAAATTTGCTCCAGCATCAGCAAGTAAACTCGCCGAAGAACGGCGAAAACAGTGTCCCGTATAGAGGATTGAATTTGGAAGTTCCAGAAATCCTATTATAGCAGCAGGCATTTTTCCGAACGTATTTATTCCGACCGGATTTCTGGTACATTTCCCTTTCACGTATTTGAGGAAAAGCCGCTGATGTCCGACATTTGCTGGACGAAGAGCCATATTTTTTCGATATAAATCCAAATAAGATTTTTCAACGATAGTAAATTTTCGTGGAACCTTGTTTTTGGTATCTGATATTTTAATCAATAATGAAGTGCCCATATCTTCCACGTTGTCAAGAGTCAACAACAAAGCTCCTCCCTACGACAGGCACCAAATATCCCAACAATCGCTGCTACTTTCATCAGAAGGTACTCATCATCCGGTGCACCCTTCAAAAACTGTTCAATTTGGTTTCTAGTCAAGATCTTCGATTTTTTGGGCTGGTAACCCTCACTTTGGCGCTTCAAATATGCGATAAGTTTAAAATGTTTGCTGATATCTACATCAATATGTATACGTAGCATAGCTTTGATCATTGAATAATTGGACCACAGAGATGATGATTTCCAAATCTTCGATTTTTCCTCAAAATAAGCCAGGAGTATATTTACCAGGAACGCCTTTTTTCTCACACCATTCAGCAAACCTTTTGTAAGCAATCTCATTGCAATCTGGATTTTTTGGGTAGCAAATCTAAAGTAGCTCGATCGGCTGCCTCATTTATATTGTTTAAAGCATCAGTGCAACTATCTTCTTTTTCTGCGTTTTCTTGCATTTTTAGCAAATTGCTTTCATATTTCATAAATTCCCTTTTGCACGCCACTGGTGTTGACCATTTTCTATACAAGTCATTCCATGATGCAATTTAAACGGAATCTGTTATTGTTCAATTAAAGAATCGCTAATTTCATCAGTAAAACGAAATACCATAAAATGGCCATATTTCCATAGCAACGCAATGTATCGAAAAAATGGCAAAGACGTCCCGAGGTGTTGACCTAGTGATCGAGTCACCACTAGAAAGAACTTTATTGGATCCTCCATCTTTCCCATATTCTTCGCCAAAAAATGGAAATTTTTCGCCGCCTTACATTCACACCCTGTATAACGAGAAGGAATTTAAAAAAAATAATAACGACGACACTGACGTATAGACCAAAGATGGCGCTTTGTAACCCTGCCTGATAATCCAAGATCGGCAAAGAAATGTCGAAGTTATAGCAAGTCAAAATTAGGCAATTTTTCGGGTGTCCCACTTCATCTGCCGCTTAGTTTATGTTAGCAACACAAGCCTTTTCTACATAAAAAATTTGAAGCATTGACAATTTTACATTAGTTCTTTTCACGTGGCTCCGGTTTAACTAACCGGGTTACAAAACGGTTAGAGAAATGACATACCGTTTTCTAACCCGGTTACCGGAGCCACGTGAAAAGGGTTATTGTATTGCCAACATAATGTCAGTTTGACTTTTATCTTAAAAAAAAAAACAGATTTTATTTCACTCACAACCGTACTGACGACTATGACGTCAGCAATGGTTGAAAACCAATATGGCGGCGATTACCAAAAACGAGGCCTATAAGCAAGGAGAATAAACTTTCTAAGGAGTGCTTATCGGCCCCTTTTTGGGTATTCGCCGCCATATTGGTTTTCAAATGTTTCCAACCACTGCTGACGTCATAACTAAGTCGCCAAGTGTTTGCGCCAGCGGTTTTATAAATTTATAAATTTGTCATGAAAAATATATTATTTTGATTCTGATTAACCATTATAGCGCGTAAAGGTACCCTATGACGGAACCAATAAACATCAAGGTCAAAAGTGCGATCTGAGCGCGATATTTCGATATTTGGCTAGCTTTCGTCATTCCGCCTATTTACACGTTTTCAGCATGTATGATTTAATGGAGCCCTAGGAGAATTACGCGGCGTTTTGTTTACGTTTCTATATGTAAGTATAATAACTATAAGATAATTTATTCTATACTATTTAATTGTTTTTAGGGTTTTCTCATATTATTATAAAAACATATTCCTATTCGAGCATAAATTGATCGTTTGTTTATGTATTATATTCTTGTAAACATTACTGTCCATATGGCATATGGGCCTGGGCAGAAGCTAACATTTTTAGCTGTACATTTTGTTTTAGTGGAATTAGCCATCAGGAAGTTTTGAATACTGCTTATGATAATGAAAATGTTGATGGCATATTATTGAGCCCACACAGAAAGCAAAGAGCTCACTGACTAAGATTCAGCAGATGAGGAACGTGGTTTAGCTGACCTATCTACTAGGCAACTTTGTGCTAGTGCAAAAATTGTTTATTCGAATGGGAAATATATCACAGGTAGAGCAGAATTAACAATTTTTTGAGAAATCATACAATTTTAACTTTATTTTTATTTTCAGACATACCCGAGGAAATATAAAGTACCACCTTGCGCTACAGAAGAATATGCTTCGGGCTGCAGCAAGTGATTTTTGAGTCAATAATGATATAAGGTATTATGGACTGCATCATCATTCAAACACTTTTCCTGAACGTAAAAAAAACGATGTGGTGGTCAAAACTGTAGCAGCCGAGGACGAACAATGTGCTGTAAATGCAATATCGACTTATTTATTCACTGTTCTCGAAAGTTTCACACTGGGTAATAATTTTCACCCATAATGCTGCTCGTGATGATGCAGGCCAAAATTCATTATAATCTATTTCGTTTACCTGATCCGAAATGATTATATCCATACAACAGCCTAACCGGATCTTTTTCTTATATTTTTGTAAACTTTCTACAATAGGACATTGCCAAAAGGGTCTAAAGGCAGGTATGGTATCTCCCTTATAATGTCTGTATTTGAATAACTTGTATATGTAATAAATAAATAAATATTTTATAAATAACTCTTTATTTTCAATTATTAATAGGTGAAAATTAAATTAACAAAGTCAAATAACTTGAACACAAATCTGATTTTTACTCGAACTACCTATAACAATATAATACTGGTAATTAGGATTCAATAAAAACTTTACACGTTGTGCTGTTTGCTCGGCCGTTTGTATGTCTATCTGAGAAGAGTTTAATAATTGATTAAAAGTATAACTACATTCATTACTTGTATAGTCTCAATAGAATCTTGATTTCTTTTTCTTTTGGCAAGTTTTTCAGCACCCATGGAATCTATTTTTTGGCTCGGTTTATGGATCGCTATAGAAGAGGGCAAATTCTGGGATGGTACAACTGTTTTTTTCAATATCCGACCTCTACCTGTACCTCTAAGACCTGTACTCTCACCTGTAAATAAAAAAAACAGTCAATATTTTCAAACAAAACATTTTAAAAATAGATAGTACTTGATCAATGCCTAGAAGCAGGCCTAATAAAATGAAGCTAGGGCCCAAAACTACCCATTATGCTTGTTTACCTTAACACAAAATTCTTGCTTGAGATGCAGAGAATACACTTTCATGAATTTGGTGACTGGTTTGCCAATACGAAGTTTTAAAATCCAGTAGGCTTTTCTTCTCGACAACTCTTTTTCCATTTTCGATTCCAAATAAACCTGTGTGGCCTGTTTCAAGGGGAAATATGTAGAAACTCAATCCTTTGTCAGCTTTTTTTTTTAGCCCAAGACTTGCACTGAGGAACACAACAGTAATGATTAAAAGTCATGATTATATGTATCTGATAAAATTTTATAATTTTAGACTTATAATTATACTAGAAACTAGTTTCATAATTTCCAGCCAGCAGCCAGATCATAACATAACCTGTGGTGCAAACAGCCTACGTCAAGGCGAAAAACGCCATGATGCTACGTCACAACTGCTTTTTTGGCTAGGCGGGGTAGGGGGGATTTGTTACACACAGGCCTTATGAGGATAAGCCATCCTTAGTAGTATGTATCATCCTTGGCCGATAAGCACTTCTTAGAGTGTATATTCTCCTTGGATAAGCACTCCCTAGAGTGTGTTTGTTTATTAAAATTTCGGGCACTTTGATACAGCGTTCAACTGCTCTGTTCGCTCGCTGGTCATGTCCTTGCGTTCGGTATTTTGCTCAAAGAGCAGAGCGTGCTGAGCGGAGCCGTAATCACGTGACCAGCGAGCGAACAGAGCAGTTGAACGCTGTATAAAAGTGTCAGAAATTTTAATAAACGAACGCGAATGAGGCTACACCGAGTACACTTTTCAAATAAACGAACGGTAAAGTCAAGCTCGGAGAACTCAGACCAAAATAACGAACGCACGGTGTGATTACTGCTTCGCTCAGCACGTTCTGCTCTTTGAACAAAATACCGAACGCAAGGTGACTGTTCAATCTGAACGCGCCTCATGCAAAGATGACTGACTTCAATGTTTGTTTTTGTTATTGTTTATTTATATGAAGAAGTCCCCCCAAAAGCCTTGATTAAAGTCCAGAGTCAAATCATAAACAAAACAGGTATAAATTAATTAAAATTTTCAAGGCTTGTAAATTCCTATTTAATTTGTCCATTTTTTTACTAAATATTAAGTTTAAAATTTCAATAATAAATTCAATATTTGCAATAATTAGGTAATAATAAATAGTGAATAGTGGGTGAGTAGTATACTTTAATAAATAATCACATACTCTGGCAACTGGATATTTTATCAAATAGGCACGAAGTTCTTTAGCTAAATACTTTAGAAAGTTACACAGCTGTATGCAACATCGTCTTTCAACTTAAAAGCGCTTTTTAAAACTGGTCACTTTTGAAAATTTGTATTGCTTTAGAAAACAAATTTTCTAAAAAAGCGCTTTTAACTTAAAAGAGGATGTTGGATATAGCTGACATTCTTTTGAAAATAAATTTGAATACTTCCGTGTCATAAGAAGCCCATTTATAAAATAGATGTTGAGATTTAGCGTAACCGTTTTCGCCTCCTGTTTTGAACTTAAATATTTCTAAGTCTTGAAAATATAGGATTCCAATGATACATATAATGATAAAATATGTAATATTTCCCAGAAATTTATTACTTGGATGGATTTTATGGCAAACATGATCAAATATGGCCCTCAATATGGCCCTTAATTACCTACTTCCAATGATAAACATGCAACAATGATTTTAGGAGGCACTCCTTTTTGTAACATCCATAGTAAAAAAAAAGTGGTAAAATAGTTTGGAGTTAACTTATTAAAAAAAAAAACAAAGATATAGAAAACCTCTTCCCAGAAAGAAAAATTTGTACCTGGCTAAAACTAGCATATTTGCTCGCATTCGCTTTAATATGTCACAAAATGAAATGAAGATTTTTCTTAGTTTAGAAGAAAGTACACCATTATACATGATGTGTTATACTTTTAACGGGATTTGTGATATCTGCGATATCACAGTCCTATTAGTTTAATTGTTGAAGAATTGGTGAGAAAACTAGGTACCTAACTCTACTGCAGAGGCAACTTTTTTATTTTTACTTTTTTTTTTCTTTTCTTTCTAAGTAATTTAGTTTAAGTTAATTTTTCCATTTTTGTTATCTTGCAAATAATATTGATTTTATTGTAATTTGGGCTTCTGGCCTGTTGGAAATAAAGACTTATTGAATATTGAAGACTTATTATTATTAACCTTTTCATTCACCATCAATTTTAATTCCCGATTAAAAATTAAACGAGCAAGCAAGCTTAACTTCTTTTTGTTTTTTTTTTTTTTAATTTTTGACTTTATTTCACATCTTTTGATTCATCATTTTTTGATGTATTTTTTTCTTTAATAAAAAATAGATAAACAAAATTCAAAAGCTTGAAATAATTAAAAAATGAAGTAAATTTACAAATTCAATGCAGCTGCAAAGCTTCAAAGTCAAAAACTTCAAAGAAAGCGGTCAGAAAGACTTTTTTCTTTCAAATCTCAAACTTTCCTATTTACTATTATATGCAAAATTTCAATCCAATCTCTCAAATTTTCTCAAAAAAACTTCCCCTCAATATGGTTTTTTGCAACTTTGTTAATTTGATTAGTTTGATGTTTGATCTCAACATGAATTTAGGCTCAAATTAAGGTCAGTTCAATTCTTTACAAATTTTATGTAGCTGAAAGTTTCGATAATGCAGCTTCAATAGTTTCGCGGCTTCAAATTTGTTATCCCTATTTTTATCAAGATGAGTGAGCAGACGGAATTGTTTTTCCTTAAATTTAATCTTTTTTTTTTAAACATTTGAAAAATTTCAGTGGGATCCTAAAGTAATTAGGCTCAAATTAAGGCCAATAATTGACTAGGGACTAGGTTTTAAATTAATTTTTGCCTCTTTTTTAATAAGTTGAGGAACCTTTTTTAATGTTTTTGCTCTATCACGATGTTCTCATTCATTAGACCCAGATTGATACAATAATATTTTCCTTTAATTTCAGAAAATCTAATCTAAATCATGCCTGTCCTCAAATACTACTACGATTTATTGTCCCAACCGTCCAGGGCACTATACATATTCCTCAAACTCACCCAAATCCCGTTCGAAGCGAAACCGGTAAGTCTGAGAAAGGGCGAACACAGAAGCGACGAATTCAAAGAGCAACTCAACAGATTCCAAAAAGTACCTTTCATCCATCACGGCGATTTTAAATTGGCTGAAAGTACCGCCATTTTGGGCTACTTGTCCAGGGAATTCAGGCATTTGATCGACGATCATTGGTATCCGGAAAATAGCCAGGCTCGAGCTAAAGTGGACGAGTATTTAGGGTGGCACCCGCTCAATACCAGAATGAAGTGCGCTTTGTATTTTTGGCACAAATGGCTGATTCCAATAATGACTGAAAGTGAGCCCAATGAAAGAAAAGTTGCTGCCCAAGAGAGTGAAATGGTAAGTAAATAATTCTCAAAGTTTGTCGTGGTTATATTTTACTTTCTGGGAAACTTTGGGCCTAAATATAAGCGCAATAGATTCTTTATTGGTGTTTTTTTTTTTTTTTTGTAGAAAATTAGGTAAATAATAAGAAGTATTCATAATTTTAATCAGTAGGTGCAGTTAGTAGAAGATAAATTTACGTTTGGTACATAGCAAGTAAGGCATTCTATGTTAAGAACATTATAAAACTTAAACATTATCAAGTGTTTCGCTACTTGTCGTTCATGCATGTGTTCCAAGTATGAATAATTCAATAACCGACCAGCCACAAGGTTTTTTTAAATCTTGTCAGGTAGTCTAGGAAAATAGTCGAAAAATACATGTATTGCAAAAAAAAAATGCCTACCCAAATGAACTTTTCAGGGATGATAGGGGGCGGCTGGGTGATCATAAAACCGAAAATATCAAACATTCACCCCTCTGGCGTTTTGCGCTATAGGGGTTGAAAGTGCGCCATTGGCGATTACTTGGTACCTATTGATTTTACAAAAAAATGTTTCAAATAAAAGATGTGCAACATTATTTAATCTAGAATGTTTGTGCTGTAACGACAGCTCAGTAATGTTGGTTGAGTTTAGTGGACTGTAATTTAATAATCTTCTTTTAATTTGAAGATACAAAGATCGCGGAATCACTTTTTCCAGTGTTAAATAATATATGAATTTTTTATTGAGAAAAATCCCGTTATTCGGATTGGTAATTGACCTCAACAATATAAAGCAGTGTGTATCACTAATAAAAGAGGGACTTACCGAAGTGTCGTCTATTTTCCTCCTCTAGGTGCACCTAGCCAAATGAGCTTTTGCGGCGAAAGACTTAGGGAATTTTCCAGCACTTAATTATGGGCACTTTTCCGATTTGCGGAGTTGATAGACCGAAGTATAATAATTATTCACTTTCAATTCCGGTTGCGAATTTTGTATTATTTAAATTTTGGTAATTTACCGACTGATCGCGTGCATATCGCGTGCATGGTCGATATCAGAGAGAGAGAGTTCTCAGTGTTTTAAAACCAGTACAGTTCCTGGGCAATTGACTCGCACAGGCGCATAAAATCTTCACCCTCTGGTAAAACCGCATCACTACATAGAATAAATGAATCCTTAACAGTTAACTTTAAAAAATAGTGATACAATAGAACATTCATATATAGCGCCAAAGGGTGACAAATCAAATTTTTACTTATTTTATAACCAAAAAACCCTATAATTTAAACACTGATGAGACCCAAGCATTTGTTTAACTAAATCTAAAAAATAAAAATTAAAATTAAAATTAAGAAGTTCAGGGGAACTGAACATATTGCCAGCCGAAAATGCTATGCATTTTCCGAGGTGACAAGAGGCAGAGGACAAAGTTTCGACATTGGTCGTTTAAACACTGAGTCCTTAGTCTTAACAGTTGCAACTCGACTTATACCATCCTTACCAGGAAAAACTTCAATAATTCTCCCGAGTTGCCACTGAATTGGAGGCAGTAAATCATTCCTAATAATTACAAGGCGACCAATTTCAGGAGTGGAAGGGTTTTCAAGCCACTTGCTCCTTTGTTGGAGAGTATGTAGATACTTCTGTTGCCAACGTCTCCAAAAATCCTGGTGGATTCGCTGAAGTAGCTGCCACCGCGTTAATCTATTAAGCTTGACATCAGCCAAATCAATGTCTGGAACAGCGCTCAATGGTTCCAAAGATAAAAAGTGACCAGGGGTCAACGCAGAAATATCATTTGGATCTGAAGAATTTTCAGTCAAAGGGCGCGAGTTCAAAATAGCTTCAATTTGACAAGTCACTGTACATAACTCTTCGTAAGTTAAAATTTGCGATCCGATAGTTCTAAATAAATGCCTTTTAACGGACTTGATACCCGATTCCCAAAGTCCTCCAAAATTTGGACTATTGCTTGGAATAAAATGCCATTTAATGGGACGTGTAGAATCAATCTGGAGTAACTGTCGATTCGCGGATACAAAATTTGTACCGTTATCAGAATACATGTATGTAACGTAATTTCTACGAGCTACAAATCGCCGCAATGCTGCTATGAAAGCATCAGCTGTCAAATCACTGACGATTTCGATATGGATAGCCTTGGTGCTCATACACACGAAAAGACAAATATAGGCCTTTAAAGTTCGCGTTACACCACGGGTTCTATGCATTAAAATGGGGATTGGACCACCTATATCGACACCGCTGTGTAAAAACGCCCTTAACTGACATACGCGGGGAAATGGAAGCGAACCCATCTTAGGTTGAGTGGGTTGAGGATTTAATTTAAAGCATCGTACGCATTTTGACAAAACAGAGCGAATTTTACGTTTGGCTGCGATTATCCAATATTGTTGACTAAGCAAAAAATGCACGGTCCTTAGCCCGGCGTGTAAATATTTTAAATGGAAATACTCTATTATTAAGTAAGTGAGAGTGCTTTCACGGGGTAATAAAATTGGAAATTTTTTATCATAAGTAAGAGAAGAGTGGTGCAATCTGCCTCCCACTCTAATTAAACCTTTTTTATCTAAAAATAAGTTTAATTTTTGCATTGGTTTAGATAATTTTACTTTATTTTGAATCGATCGGATTTCTTCCGAAAAATAAATCTTCTGCTCATTTGGTATCAACAAATGAAGAGCATCAGTTATTTGTTGATATGTTAAAAATTCCTCGTAAATTTTATCTTTGCGAAGAATCTTCTCGTCAATAAATCGCAGAAAATAAGCTAAAGATCTACAAAGTTTAGAAAATGAAGAAATTCTATTCAAAAATGCGGTCAAAAAGTTGAAGTTTTGATTTTGAGAAGTAATTAGTACCACATTACTTGAAGATTTTTCTTCGGCTAGAGTTTCAGAAGTTTCCAAGATCTCGCATGTTATGGGCCATTGTTCATAAGAAAGTTTGAGAAAATCGGGACCACTAAAAAATAAATGATGATTGACTAATTCGCTAGGATATAATCCTCTTGAAGCTATGTCAGCGGGGTTTTGAGATGTGGAAATGTAGTACCAATTTTCAGGGAGTACCTTTTCATGAATTTGCGTAACTCTATTTTGTACAAAGGTTTTCCACCGGGACGGATGCGCTTTGATCCATGAGAGTGCCACTTGAGAATCACTCCAGGCAAAAATTTTATGAATTTTCAAGCGAGAACCAAGACTATTCAAAATGAACTGAATTAGATCTGATAAAACATTACAAGCTGCTAATTCAAGTCTAGCAATACTAATGAATTTTATAGGAGCTACTCTTGTTTTAGAGCATAGAAAATAAATGAAAACCTCATTTTTATAGGTAACGCGCAAATAACAAATTGCAGCGTATGCGCGATTTGATGCGTCAGAAAACCCTATTAATTCGTATTTTGCCTTGCCAGAGAAAGTATTAATGAATCTAGGCAAGCGGAATTCTTTTAATAGAGGTAGTTCAGATTTATAGCGTTCCCAAAGGCGAGTAATTTGTGTAGGGGCTTCAGAATCCCAATCTAATCCAAGTTTCCAAAATTCTTGAATTAAGCACTTAATTAAAATAGTGACTGGCGAGAGCCAACCTAAGGGATCATATACTTTGAAAATTTCAGAAAGTATATTGCGTTTGGTACATAGGCGACTTGAAGCTGACACAGAATAACAAAAATAGTCAGAACTAGGTTGCCATCGTAGGCCAAGATTTTTGTGGTATCGTCACAATTTAAGGATAAAGCTGTGGGATTTATGTCAGACTCCGGCAATGGTGCTAATACTTTTTTGCTATTACTAGCCCATTTGTGTAATTTAAAACCACCTGACTCTAACAACATAGTTAGCTCTTTTTGGAGAGAGATGGCTTCTTTCTCGGAGCTACAGCCTGTCACGAAATCATCGACGAAACTATCATTTAAAAGAACCTTGGCTGCGTGAGGGTATTTATGCTTTTCATCTTCAGCTAGCTGCTGTAAGACTCTTAATGCTAAGTAAGGAGCGGGGGTAGTACCATAAGTCACAGTTTTCAGGCGATATTCTTGAATGGGTTCAGATTTATGAAATCGCCAGAGAATTTTTTGATAATTCTGGTGCTGAGAAGCAATTAAAATGCCACGAAACATTTTCGAAATGTCGCAACACAGAGCTATTTCGTGCAATCGAAAATTTAACAAAATACTACAAATATCCTTTTGTAATTTGGGACCTGCATATAGAGTATCATTCAAGGAAAGTTTTCCATTATTTGTGAGCGAAACTGCACTAGCATTGAAAACAACGCGTAGCTTGGTTGACAAGCTTTCAGGACGTTCAATATGATGATGAGGAATATAGTAGCTTTTTTCAATCACTTGTGGGTTTTCAACCAGCTCCATGTGGTCTAAGTCTAAATACTCTTGCATAAAATCTGAATATTTTTTGTAGGTTTCTGGAGTTCTACTCAATCGATTTTCGAGAGACAAAAATCTTTTTAATGCAAGCTGACGACTGTTCGGAAAAATTGGTTCAATCTTTTCACGGAAAGGTAGGGTCACAATATAGCGTCCTTCATCATTGCGAGAAAAAGTATTTTTGAATATTTGTTCGCACGCTTCGTCTTGTGGGGAAAGAATAACTTGAGTTTCAGGAATATTTTCAATTTCCCAAAATTTAGTTAACGAATCGTGAAGCATTTGATTTGAAATTTGACAAATAAGCGAAACAGAAGTTATAGGCTCTTGAGGAATATTTATTTTTCCCATTAAAATATATCCAAAAATAGAGTTAATAGCAATAGGCTCATCACTATTACCAACCAGGCGGCCATCTCTAAGAAGATAAGGAAAAATATCTGCTCCTAATAAAGCATCGACGGCTCCCGGTCTATTAAAATTGGGATCTGCGATTTTTATATTATCAATTATGTGCCAATTTTTTGTGTTAACCTCTTTTAATGGAAGAGAGGAGCATATTTGGGGTAAAATGACTGCACCGCTTACTGATAGGGTAAAATCAGAGTGAT